TTCCGACTTGATGGCGCTGGACCACGCAGCCTTGGCCTTCTTGACTGACTTGACTAAAGAACAATGTAAAGACAAATACTATTATTTATTATTTATGATGACCTCTTTTGTGGGAGCATGAGTAGTTATTTTATACTGCCTCAATGCCTTCTATTTCTGTTCTGCACTGCTATACCATTAGCAGGGACTGTGCCATGGCAAGTACTGAGGCAAGGTATTTAACTAATTGACTTACAGGTACGGCTAACTCTCAGCCCTACTGTAGAGGCACACGCGTATACTTTCCAATGACTTTCAAAACATATTTATATGCCAACATCTTCCTTGCTGTGCCAATGAGTTTATATTTTATATTTCAAATTTGATAATAACAGCTCTGAGATTTAAGCCAAGCTATTCCAGGCCCCCAATGCAATCTATATGAGCTAATATACCAGCGAATACTTCGAGATGAGAACATACTTGTTCAAGAGTAGCTAGCACCACCCCCACCACCACCGTGACCACCTTGACAGGATCAAACGCTCCTGCGATGTCCACAGTGAGGGACTTGAATCAGACCCCCCCCCCCCCTGCAGCGGTTGGGGTGAGACATTACCCTCTTCCATGGTTTCTTCTAGCTCCAGTGTCTTCTCAAAATTTTCGTCTGATTATTATGTTCTTTCCTTTTTCCTTCTCTTGCCATGGCTGGCTAACGACCCCTCCTTTGCATTGGCTTCTGCCATTGGACGGTGAAATAAAAGTCACCTTGAATTCTATTTTTTCTACATTCCTTCTCGGGCAATACTGTACACGAAATAACAAATACCGTAAATGGTGGGGTCGCTCGTGGCCCAAAGGATGGGGCCACTGCATCTTGACATTGTAGCAGCAGTGAAGCACTGAAGGGCAATGGCGACTAGTCATGGCCCAAATTTGCTCTGCCCACATCGATATTTTGCCGCACAATTTTGCTGCAAGATTTTCGATATTCTGCTCGGCATTTCCTTTCTCTGTCGATATTTTGCTTTCATTTTGCTCGAGATAAAATGAGTTTCAAGGAAAAATCTACAATCACTGTCGCTGATGACTACGGAATTTTTGATTGGGCTCCTGCTGCTGCTCAACTTTCAACAAAAATGTAGCCACGAGTCTGTTTTGTCCTACTTTTATGCTCGTTTTCAACCTTGGTGACTGATTGTGTTGGGAAAGTCCCTAAGAAGCCTTGGATTTTCCGAAAAGCCCACCAAAACTCGATATTTTGCTCGAAACTTGCCGGCAACTTGCGCATCCGATATTTTGCTCAAAGAATTGCTAGCAAATTTGGGCTATGACTAGCCAGCATAACCTTTTGAACCATGTCACGTGATGTGAAGTTCTGCCGTCGCAGCACAGCATAGAGGTTGTGCAGGCAGTTGCACACTCTTGGGGTTATGTACTCTTGGTATTAGTACAGTTCCGCTCACTGAAATCCGACCTAAAGTGGAAAACTGGCGCCCTGGACCAGTTCCGATTACATTACTGTACTTGTACATGATTGTGTACATGTACGTCCAGCCGCATTCGTACCACTTCCAGGGTATCAAAGGGCCGTGCAAGTTGAGGGTGCCACGCATGCACTTTGAGTCGGATTTCACCGAGCACACCTGTACTTGGACACGGCTGTCTTGTAAGTGACAAGTGTGAGCAAACCATGTCGGGTTGGATCACGTGACACAGATTTCACTTATTACAATACTCTGTTTAGGATACTAGTAAACAGGGTTATAAGGAAGTAAATTATCGTGTCCGTTCCCGAAAGGAACTCACGACGGCCGCTAACACCCGGTAAACCCTAGCGCCAGATGCAGCGCCTAACGGTGGGGGTGAGTGGATAAGTCTCACAACCACTGGCTTAAGTGCCGGGAAACCCCATTGCTGCATCCACGTACCCCTTGTGCTTGGCCACAAGTTCCCAGTTGACTGTCGGTAGCAGCATGGCTGGAAAAACCGCTCCCAGGCAGGACTTGAACCAGGTACCTCTCGTATCTCAATCATGGTCTTCTCATCAGTGTTATAGCCAGAACAAAAGAGAAGAGGGGGGGGGGGGGGGATCATCGGATCTAAAATTTTGTGACTTTACTGCCATTGTGTGCTGCCATTTTGGCCGCTACTTTCACCGACACCAGTAAGCAATCAACCAACTATTGTACTTGCATTCCATGTATGTATTCACAGCGCAGCGCCCTGCTATGTTGCTTTGGCGAGAACCCTGGTAATGGCCACCAGTCCTGCTCAGGCCATGTAATGGGGTGCATACTGGTACCAGTAATTCACTGATCACTACCAACACGAGCACCATACTACCGGTAGTCCGCACTGTACTCAAACCAGTACTACCGTCAGTACAGAAACACCAAGAGAGCGCAGCTCCCGTGGCAAACATTGGATGCGGTCCACGAAGGCAAAACTCATAAACGCCCCGAGCATGACAATACCCCAGGAATGTTTGAAGATGACTATGACCCTTTGTGGCGTAAAGGCTGCTTTACACAATGGGACTGGCTGCCGGTGGGAAGCGAGGCACGTGATGCCAAGAGCATGCCAGTGGACAGGAAAAAATTATTCGTACAGTGAGCCCAGAATGACAGCACATCTCGTCGGAACGAAAACATTTCCGAATATCTTTCTTCTTTTTTCTTCTTTTCCTTTTTCCGCTTTCATGACCAGTTGTGTGTCTATTACTGACAAGTCTCCCACGCTCCATCATGGAAAAGCCAGTGCACAGTATTCTTCTTCGGTACCTCTCGGTAACGGTGTGCCATTCCTCCACCGCCTACCCGACATGTCACAGTCACAGGACAGTTCCAGTATAGCTCGTGGCGTACACTCTCGCCAGAACTTGATCTCACAGGACGGGATCGCTATGGCGGCATCACGCACAGGATGACTTTCGCGTCGTGTAAATCGCCTCTAAGCCACGATTATCAAAGTGATTTCAGAGTGTTTTCTCTCATCAACTGAAAATGCTCTGCCGCAGATTCCATTCCATCTCGGTCTTATAGTCAAGTCACTAGTACTCCATACACACACGTAATACGTGTAGAGTGGCACATATACAGGTATGTACTGCAGCCTGTTCGGGTATTTACCTGATAGTGTGGTCTTCCTCAGCTGTATCGAATGCATCACTCTGCATTGCACTGGCCAGAGAGTATTCACTACCCTTCCTCTGGGAATGGGACAAAGGCATTGACAAATGTGGGCCATCCGCACTGTCCTCCGACTCTTCAGCTCTGGCTGCAGCGCTACGCTCTTTCAGAGCCTGTTCGATGCTGCCAAGGCTTTCCTGAATGTTACTCAGCTGGCGAGAGAGGCCATCCACTGCAGTTGCAAGTCGAATCAAGTTGGACTCCTCCGGGACAGATGGACCAGCTTTACATGCTGATGCCTTGACGTAAACTAAGGCACCACCCAGTCCTACCGCCACTCCAGCAAACCCAGCAACGTACACAGATCTTGACCAATCCATGCCAATAAGTTGGTTTGCAAGCTCCTCAGGGCAAGTCTGTAAAGAAATTAACTATAGGAAAACTCAGTAAACAATTATCTCAGCAACTATAGAAGACCTTTGACACAAATCTGATCCTCTAGATCTCCTGGCCAGGATGAGCACCTGAGCTAGGGGAGGAAAGAGTGACACAAATTCAAACTGAAACACAATAAAAGTAACTGCAGATCATTTTGACTGCTTGACTTTTGAAATGAAAGTACGAAATACTTTCTTTTTTTTCATCTCGTGGTGTAGGACGTATGCACGTGATGTTGTGCATGTGCGCATAGTCTGCCATAGGGACGCCTAGCGCGCCTGTTGCCGTGTAGATCTACGTCAACCATTTGCTACAATCATGTCATCATACCGTTCGCTCGTTCGTTCGCTATTCAGTGGTAGCTTTGCTTTTGCCCATTTCAAGCATTTGCTGATTTGGTCTATTTTGGGTGGAAGTTTTGGTATGATTATGACATGTAGTGTGAGGTGAATGTTACTACTAGTAGTACTATTGTGCAGGGCGTGAAGTCGAGTACCAGAATTCTTGATCTCACCATCTCTAGCTCTGTCGTGACCCTGACTCTGCTCCAAGCTACATTATTTACACGTGCAACGCCTGTACCTTTTTTGATTTTTTTTCTTTTACAAGTTTCAGTCATTTCAAGAAGGGACAAAAAATATTAATTACTTTAGTGTCTCCTCTACTAGTATACTGCTGGTTCTATCCATCCAGTGTAGCGATTTCAGTCACTGGCTTGCAAGATGGCCGGTGCTCTACTACGATGGACTAGTCGCACGTTCGCTATCAGGACACCGAGGTATTTTCCCACCACTAGGCAATAGTGTTCTTCCTAATCATCAAAATATTGTTTTAATAGAAGAATTGATAGCTGTGGAAAGGAATCGTGTTACTGTACATGGACCAGCATTCTACTTTGACTTCAGTGTTACTGCATCTTGGATAACAGTCCATTCATTCGAAACTGGCACCCTAAATTGATTTTCATCTTAGTAAATGCGCTAAAAATCATGAGTTGTTTTCATTACAAGGCCCCATTGGAGGACTCATGCGATTCATCCTATTGACTTCCCCGGTGGAATATCCCATTAGCTTATTGCAAACCGGGACACGTTTGCGCTGGTTTTACTTCGCGATTTGCGAGCGCAGACCACTTTGCTCCTGGAATGTTCGTGATTCAGAAGTTAAATTACTGTTTTTTTTCTTTTGCTACAGTTCTACGGTTGCTTTTGGGATTTCACTCCCATCGCGAAAATCACGAACTTTTCCAGGTCGCATTTAAAGTCCTCTACTGACTCACGTAAAATTTAACGTGTGGTACATGAGTTGACTGTACCGCACGTAGTTTCGTGATGTGGGTGTTTTGGAAGTTTCGTTTCGTCATCCCGTTTGGTTTTGTGCGACTATCCATGGTTTTATCGAGTTTGTTGGAAGATTTGATATTTTGTGTGTTGAGAAAATTCTGCTGTTCGAACTAAACCCGAATCGTCGCGCTTTGAAAAAAGTCAAAAACGTGTATGGGATATTAGTATCCGTCTGATTTGCAATTTAAAATGAAAACAACAACAACAACAACAACAGACATCAGATCTCTCGGTGACGGACCACGAGCAGAGAATCTGCCACTGCCAGAGAGGTTGCAGTTGGGAGAACGGTATGAAACCGGAATGGCGAATTGTTTGAACAAGCGCATAGCACCGCCGTTGGAGGTGGTCCGGCTGGGGGGGGGGGGGGGGGGGTCCGTGGGGCCTCTCCCGGGAAAGTTTTGAAATTAGGGTGCAAAATCCTGCATTCTGGGCACTTTGGCATTGTGTTAAAAAAAAGTGGTCCGGGCGGACCGGCTGCTACGCCCCTGTTGAAGCATTGGTGACGCTATAACCTGGTGCTGGGCTATGGCTTCAGGGTCGCCACCAAGTATTGTTAATGTTTCAGCCAGGGCTGCAACGGGTAGGGGGTTTGGTCGGGTAAATGCCGGTGTTTCAGCTGAGATTGGAGGCGATCAGTGTGTCCGTATCTCACAAACCTCTATACAGTAATAGGCTGATGATATAGCGTACGCCGGTAGAATTTAGCTACTGCTAAGATAACACAATCCCCAACTACCGTATTTCCCCCAATAAACGTACACGTCTCCAATACTAGTACGTCTCCAATTGTAGTACATGTTGAGCGTGGATCAAAATATAAAAGGATACGTCTCTAATAATAGTACATGCCGGAATGATGTGATAGGCATTACTGCGGTACAGGTACCAGGGTCCATCTGACTCCGTTTTTCTTACCAGTGTTACATCTTTGTGTGATTCTACACTGTTTAGTGTGCATTGTACTCGTAGTGTATATGTATTTACGGCCTTGCACTGTAACAGTATCATTATCATGAGTTGTTTGCCACTGAACCCAGGCAATCAATCTTTCCAGAAACAAAAAAGTACACGTATCCAATACTAGTAGTAGTAGTACAGTCTCCTATTGAAGTACAGTTCTGACAACATTTGAAAAAATAAAAGTACTGTACATGTATTGAGGATGATGCGGTATGTGTAAGTTCAGCCTCTGCTCAGCTAAGCCGCGCTGGTCCTGTTTGTCATCACTTGAATGTGTACGTGTACATGACGTATTGAAGTGCCTGATGCTCAATGGGATAGTGTGTTTGCATGCGTACGTGTGTGCGTGCGTGTGTGTGTGCACGCGTGTGTGTGTGTGTGCACGCGCGCGTGTGTGTGTGTGTGTGTGTGGGTGTACATGCCTGTGCTGCTGTTCAGGCATACACGCACGATCGCCACGCCGAGCAACCCGTTCCTGGAGGGTAGCTCACGCACGGTGATCGAGACAGCGTCGTACGATGGAACCCACCCGCTGGTGCATGCGTACAGTCCAGTCGGCTTCACGATCAGCTCGCGGCGAGTATTCGGCCCGGTGTGCCTTCTACCGAACTGCTTCATGCAGTGGAAGGTAATCAGCACCACAGTGGAACCTCGCTTAGTAAACACCTCACAGTAAAGAACACATACACAGTCTGGACACACTGTCACACATCACATTCTTACTAGATCTCGGACCAAACAATCGACAACGCGCACTCGATGGCGAGCTTTGACTTAGAAGAGCCTCTTCACAAATGTACCGATGGGCAAAATAATGCAGATATTAGAGGAGAAACTAATCAATCAGGATCTGAGGAACAGAGAGAAACTGCTTTCAGTTGATAGCATTCACCAGTTTTGCGTCAAGAATGCCTGCCTCCAATATGGAAATGCATTTCACGGGCAGACAAGGGGAGCAGTGATGGGATTGCCACTTTCCCCGGTTCTGGCCGACCTCTTCATGGAATGGTTAGAGGACCAGCTCCTAACAACATGCGACAACGAAATCCAGACCTGGCTGCGGTACGTGGACAACACCTTCACCATCATCAAGAAAGGAGAACTAGGCCACGTACTCACAGCTGCCAACGCAATCTCACCAGACATCCAATTCACTGTGGAAGAAGAAAACAATAGAGGAATTGCATTCCTGGACGTCTGGGTGCAGAGATCTGATTCAAGTTTGACAACGCATGTTTACAGAAAACCGACACACACCGGCAAGTACATAAATTCCCAATCCCACCACCCTCAATCCACCAAACGTGCCACACTATCGTGTCTTGCACAGAGGATCGAATCCCATTGCAGCACAAACCTATGGTAAGACCAGGAGCGAGAGACACTGCGTACTGAGTTTGGCTCAAATGGGCACCCCCTGGAAATCATCGGAGGGGTAATCAGACAAGTTCACCGCCGACACCGCCAAAACCAGCAGCAGCAAGACCGACAACAACAACAACAACAACAACAACAACAACAACAACAACAACAACAACAACAGCAGCAGCCACAACAACAACAACAACTATCTCTTATTGGCGATGGTGCCATCGTGAGAATAAAGAATTCAAAAACAACAACAACAACAACAACAGCACAGACAGCAAAACCCCCATGGGCAGCATCAACCTGAACGAAGACCAAGACCACCGTCAAGCTACACCTACCAAACAGTATCCCTACCGTACGTCCGTGGGTTGTCCGAGGTGATAAACAGAAAACCAGGAACGCGCCATTTCGCATGGTCCACCGCCAATCTACTGGGCTCAAGAACCTGCTAATTAGGAAGAACCCCACAGCCCAACCTATCAGAGAACTAACTGTTACACTGGATAGTTGATTCCCTCTGCTGCTCCACTTGTGGGGCAGAGTACGCTGGCGAAACGGGGGAGAAGAATGAAAAAACACTGGAGGAGCACCAGAGAGATGTACACAACAAGAAAGTTGATAACGGTGTGGCAAAACATGTGTTGCACGCTGGACATACAATCGATTGGTCTAACCCCATCATTCAACACCGCATACTGTACCACAGCTAGTCTTACGTAAATACACGGAGTCGTTCTTAATCAGAGAGCGGCAGCCATCTATGAATCTGGACGACGGAGTGTCTTACATGATTATGTGAATGGGTATGACACTTGACGGATCCTTCAATTCTCAGATAACGACCAGACACACACTCTCACTGACACGTGCACTAACATTCCAGGCAACAATATTCTCTCCCTTCCAACGACAAGGACAGCACACAGACCTGCGCGCTCCGCATGCGAACAACACCGCACGGCACGCACGCACGACCTACGATAACGTACGGGATCGGCACCTGCACGACGCAAATCACGGTGAAAGCAAGGAGTTCCCGTCGTTCCCACCACACTCCACACTATCCCTCCCAGTACCTTTCTTCGGCGATGGCCGTTTAACTAGCTCCTCGGACAACCTGGAGAGATCGGACGGTAGGTCCCGAACCAGACGAGTCTCTCCGAGATCTGCCAATGAGACCTCTATCCTCCAAAGAACCACCAATAACCACCGTCCTCTCTCTGTGTTCTATACTCCGACCACCTGCCAGAATACACAGCCCGCGACCTAATGGGCCACGATAATCGATACCTACCACGATATTAATCTAGTAACGGCAGCAAAACTTAGATACTAATCCTGATCTTTTAACGGCATTGACTAATAAATACCGGAGTGCAACTCTGGGACGCACATTTGACTGCCAGTGAGCCCAACGCAACATCGGAGGTAAGCAATGTTGACAATACTCCGTCATTCTAAACCCCAACCCCAAAGGAGTTCCCCCAAATAATATTCCATGCACTGAAATCAACTCATGCTATCAAAATGTAGGAACAAAAAAACATGTAATGATGTTCCTAATAAAATGATGAAGGCACTGTGTTATTCGGACAACTTACGGTATATGGGACAAATATACCTGATCCCGTGGCTGCCCGTAGTACCAAGAATCCATAATCCACCGGGGGGTTATAGACTCTTGGTAGTACGCGTAGAAAAGGTCCCCGCTGTTGTTGTTTTCATCGGTGTGTTTCTTGCTACACAGGGCCAGGCATACAACCGTCATCTGTTTGGAACAGCAATCGTTTGGCTACTGTGATGCATGCAGGTAGTGTATTAACCGGCTGCATCATGAAGTTTTAGCACGGCCACCTTCTGTATTCTTGTGTGATTTCATGATCAGGTAATGAGAAAGGAGGACATCACACCCGAGTCTCTGGTCATCTATCCACTGCTATATCCAAAGATAGGTACGGCTTACGAAGGAAGCATAGACACTAAAATTCACTATGCCGGCGTGAGGGCTTCTGATTTGCTTTGGGGGTTTCCTCGTCAAGCCGGATGAGCTCTAAAAAGATGCACACATGCTCTCTGCCGCCAGTCCTTCAAGTCAAAAGGCTGTGCCTGTTAGACCTTATGTAGCACTCGTTGTGTTGTGAATTGAGTAGATAGTGGAAAGACAAGGAACTTATTGGCGGAGAACAGAGCAGCATGTGTTTGGTATTCCTGATAGCAACACCTGAATGGCCCGCTCATAGGTGTGCTTTACGCTCTACCCTCTTTCGGTCCATGCATACCCAGAAGTCTTGATCATCGGACTTGGTGACCGCGTCAGCCGTTTGGATCCAAGCATCAAGGAACGACTGCTTGCCGAGGGAATTGCTGTGGACGCTATGGACACGGTAAGTACATGTACTTCCTCCACGTCATCGAAATTGTCGCAGTTTGACTTTTGATATAAAACGGGGTATTTACTCACCAGCACTCGTACCAGAGGCAAGGAATCGGACATAGGCGATAGTCATCAGTATAGGGTGACGGCAAAGTTCTATTTTTTGTTATTGGAAGCTGACATTTTTGAACTAGACGCGATTTCTTCGTTGATGTCGCTGCGATGGTAATTTCGACTCGCTGAGATCAGTCAGGCGTTGCAGCCTGCACATTTCTCGTGCTTATGGCCATTCACTCAAGCCTCATCACTGTTTTACCTTAGCTGGGGTGAGAATGACTTCGTGGAACAAGTAGCAGCGCTTGGAGAAACATCGAGGGGTCAAACTAAATGCATGCAACAGCGATAAAAATTGTCGCTCTGGCTGAGACACTCAGTACATGATTGTACCTGCAAGAGCCGTGTAGACTCTACACATAGTGCTAGTGATGCACGCGCAGGTGCCGTACCAGTGATGCTGAAAAAGAGGGCGCGCTGGACGTGATAGTACACTTACCTGCATGAGCTGTGACCACACAACTAAAATAAATAGGCATGCCACGGCTAAAAAAAGTTCATTTCAAGATCGAGGTGATTCCGCCGACGGTAATCAACCGACCTCGCAACGATCGTGTATTCTTACTAGACTTCGTTGGTGGTGAAGTAGAAATCATCCAGAGCTAGCAGACGACAAGCATAGCAGCTCTTGTCCTGTGGAGAAAGTCAAAGCGTTTGAGATGAGGCGCGACCAACTTTCAACCTTCCTTGAAATGTTTCGGAACGATATTTTTGCGTCCATTGACATCAGCGACGACGAGGACTTCATCTCTGGATGAAAACTCTCAGTCCAACTGTCCTGGAACGTTACTCTAGTCTTCAGACTATCATACTGTGTAATAAGTTTTGAATGGTTTAGCTTATGGAGTTGTCAGTAACAAGTCACTAGTCAAACTGCGACAATTTCGATGACGCGGAGGAAGTATATGTATATAGCGGAGTCTAGTGACGTGAATAAAACTTAAAAGGCTCGCTCTACAAGTCGTGTCCCTTGCCACCTTCCCTGTGACTGTGCATATTCCTGTGCAGTGTACTTGCGTGCGCGCGCGCGTGTGTGCATGTGTGCATGTATGTGTGATTTTACGCATGCATGCCATTAGGGAATGTACAGTCGTTGCCAAAAACTTCCGGTCAATCCTGTACATGGTAGTCTAACACATGCACTGCCACTGCACATACCTATCACATACCTATCATGTACATACTTCGAAGTAGTATGTAGCTGCAGTCAGTGCAGTGCTGGTGGATCTACAGTAAACAGTTGTAGAAGCATGCATGCTACCATGTGGCACCGCCATGTCCGCATACCATACCACTGTGTCGGCATTGACCGGATTTTTGGTGACGACTGTACATATGGCTCACAAAGTCACAATTGCTCGTTGATGTAATGTTATTGCAAGTCACAGGCGTACAGTTGAATCTCTGTTGTCCTGCTGTGTGTGTATCTTTTTTCTCTCTTTTTCTTCTTTCTTTTCAATCTCACTAGCCTAACGCTTGCTCCACGTATAACTACATTGCCACGGAGGGACGCAAAGTCGGTGCTGCTCTCATCCCGGTGACCAAAGTCCTGTAGAAACGCGGTGAGAAAAGGAGTCATTCATGGCTACATCAAGCCGCGTGTTCTCAGTCAAGTGGATGGTCAAGTAACAACATGGCCTCCCCTGCTTGCCTTGCTCCCTGTGCAAACAATGACCTGGCACGACCAACATACTGGAGCCTGTATGAGCTGGCATGGTCACTTATTGGCACTTGCCCAGACTGGAACTTGAAGCGGGCCCAACAACTGAACGGAGCACGCACACCGTGACTGCAGTGATTTGCACCGGGCAGCTGCACACAGGGACCCCATCACGCCACATTGGAGATGCAGTACTTAGTACTATCCCACGACTGCGGTGCTCATCTATCTGATCTCATTCTCAAATAAACTTTGAGGAAAAAAGAAGAATCAGTAGGCTGTAGCACGAAGTCTGCCTCTACATTATAACCACCAGAGCAACTCAAGACTGAATTTCAATAGCATTGTGTATCTTCTATGAAGCACATTGTGAAATCCGTGTGACTTTGTCAAGAAGCAGATTTTGTTTGCATTTTTGATTTTGCATCTGGAGCAACAAACTTTAGTGTTGGAATTGAATATTGACAAGTTCATTTTTACCTTTAATACCACGTCTCATTCTGCATGCATAGGTCACTGGTCATGAGGGGTGATGCACACAGTCAGTCACAGTGACTCATTGCTTGTAGCAGTATCCATAATTGCTTTCACAGTTTGAAACTTTGATGGAGCAAACCAGATTATTCAGCTAAGCAAGCTTCTCACTCACCATGCTCACCAGATTTTTTAGTACTACAGACAGTACAGTTATAACGTTACAGTACTCCCTGATGCTCACTGTCTGTGGACAACAAGAAAGATCTGACTGACACCACCTGGACACACACGGTGGGTGCACTGGCTGTACTGAGTTTGTCGCTCTGCTCATGGCAGCTGACAATGGTTGATAGTCTTCACTGACACTGACAGACAGCATGCCACCAAGACTGCAAGCCAAGACTGCAAGAGAAGAGACCTTACTGTCCAGTGTCCAGTATCAGGTTAAATTTTATGGACTCGAGTCTTGTCTTGACTTGATGCCACTCGTCACCATGGTCACTCGAGTACTCATGTGGCAGGGAGTCGTAAAAACAGCACTCATTTTCGTGTTTACCCTGCCAACATATTCCCGCCAAATTTGAGCGTCCACATGTGTGTCACGGTACGGCCTACCTGCATGAAGCCTTGAAGGTTGAGAACGAACAAGTCAAGACAAGATTGAACTGAAATATCATTATGGAATGAATGGCCAACTCAGACACAGCGGTGGCGAAGATCCACGTTTTCGGCACATCCAGAAACAATAGTCAAGAGATAGAATTCACTGTTTGAAGTAAGACCTGGTACAAATATCGTATTCTCCCAGAGTGGAATACAGACAGACACAGCACACTGTAGTCTTAGTTTCTTGCCTCATCTCGTTGAGGATTTCCCTGTTCAGCCAAGGAATTTAGTTAAGTCAACAGGATGCCCGTGATACGAGTTTCCAAAGTCCTCAGGTGTTCATCTGAGGTGAGGCCGCGATTTACTTGTACTATCCTGTCTTGTCTTGTTGCTAGTTTTCGAAACCATGCACAGTATATAATTCTGATGCAAAATATGTGCTTACACAGAATATCTGATTGGCGAAGGATGCAGCCAAATACATGCAGCTGCAGTGCGCTTTATGTCCACAGCGAGGCAGAAGCCAAGTAGTACATACATGTAACATCTGTCATAGCCTGAAGATGTTTGCATTCTCACGTCTCGCACTCCCGTACTGTGTCGCGGCCAGTCTTCTGGGGCTACACACCTTCCAGTCTTCTGGGGCTACACACCTTCCAGATTTCTGCGTTACAAGCTGAGTTTTAAATTCAGTACAATGGCCCTGGCTCTGGCCCTGGCTCTGGCATCCCATTCACCAGTTCAGTACAATGGCCCTGGCTCTGGCATCCCATTCACCTTCCTTGTTATGCCCGGTGATGTATTATAATCACGAAATGCATCACTAGCCGAGAACATAATACCATGTCCATTGCCATATTCCTTCATTCTCCGTTTTCTTGTTTGTAGGACCCAGTGTTTTCTTCCAAGAACCTTCTCCTGACTGAGCGATATCGCAAGTTTGTTTGCCACCAATCGAATCAAGCTGACCGCATCGAGGTCGATCTGCAGCTTGCTAGTCCTTCTCAAATCACCAACATTGACTTAGGTTGGTACTTTCTCTCACACTCCCCCCCTCTCTCTCACACACACAGCAGGGTTCTAGCCAAAGGGGGGTAGGGGGGTGCAGCGCCCCCTACTCCGTTTGCGCCCCAGTGAAAAAGTGCCGCCCCCCCCCCCCCCCCCTACTCATTTTCTGATTTTGTGTTTTTTCACGCCATTCAACGAAAATACAGTCGATAGTCACTACTAGAGGGTTCATAAAGGCACATTTGTGAGGGGTGAAGTCGGGGTTCACCCTGTATGTTGCATTTTGCATGGCAAGACAATTTTGGACAATGGAAAAAATGGGTCATGGGGTAACTTTTTCCCATGCCCGCCCCCTACTATATTGACCTGGCTAGAACCCTGCACAGACACACACACATGCACACGCACACGCACACACACACACACACACACATGCACACACACATACACCTGGTCCTGGTAAACACTGCCATTACGGTCACGTGTCCCCTTGCGAGGCCGACAATATGGAACGACGAGCGACGGCAGTCCGCTGAGAGAGAGGTCAGGGACTCAGGGACCATGTTTGAGAGTGCCATCTCTGGCAGCTATGGATCTGGCTTATCATCGGAAACAATTCCTCTCACGGCTGCCGCTTGAACTGGTCCATCACTCTCCACAACAGAGCGAACATTCCATGAGCCAATGCTCAGTCGTTCCAAGTCGTCGTCTTCGTGCGGTAGTTTGCTCCACTCGCGGGCTTGCAAGGCCTCGCGAAGGACTCCGAGGTGGGGGCGGCGAGGAGAGTGTCGGCATCGTAACTATCCGACCAAGTCTCCTGTCGATAAAGACCCCATCTCAGGCACTGTTGGCCTGGGCGGCTGCACGCCGAAAGCATTCCCAACTTTCAAAAACTGCACGTTTCAAGACAAGAGCACCATACACACATACATACACACACGCACACACGTACACACTCACACACACTCACACACACTCTCTTTCTCTCGCACACACTCACATACACACACCTTGGACCTTGGACGCCCATCACTAGTGCGATGATAGCATGCGAGCTGAGCAATATGGGGAGTGACTCTTCAAGTCACCCGCCTGCTCTGGCGGAGGAAGACGAGGATGGCGAGACAACTTCCTCCACTCTGCCCTGTCTGCACGTGCGTGCATGCACACACACACGCACATACACACACACACACACACTCTGACTCAGACACACACACACACACACACACACCACACACACACACACACACACACCACACCACACTCAGACTCAGACATGCCCATCGCGGAAGCGATGATAGCGAAAAGCTATGTTAGACATAGCAACTTCACACACATATGTACACACACACACACACACACACACACACACACACACACACACACACACACACACAAACACACATTGCCTGTGACATCAATTTCTTTATCACTACCTCTGTGGTCTTTGGACAAGCACAATGAATTATTTACAGTAGAGAAATGTGGTAGAAACAGCACAAAGAAAGGTGGCCAGAAATAACACGCTCAAAGGCATAACACCATACACACAGAAGGGATGGCGAAAGGTGCAAGTGTGAAGTGAGCACACAGACTTGCGATGTATTGCCACAATAATATACAACCAATGGACAAGATAATGAGCTGCTGACAACCTACCGAACAGAAATTGTTTGATAGGTCGTCAGCAACTTATTATTTTTGTCCAGAGGCTATTGTTGTCGCAAAACACCGCATGCCTGTGTGGTCTCTTCACACTTGCGCCTTTTGCCATCCCTTCTGCGTGTATGGTGTTATGCCTTTGACAGTGTTGTTTTTCTGGCTACTTTTCTTTGTGCTGTTTCTGTCACGTATGTAGTCTTCCTCAGTTTTATAAGTGAGCTGCGAGCATTTTATTCATATTTCCTCTCTTGATTGTTCCATCCAACTCCAGGTAACAATGGCTCTGCATTTATTAGTATGCTTGTTGGTCGCTCCGGCAGTGCCAATGAGAAGGAGTTTGTAGGACTGCTACCAGAGACAATGCTGCAAACACCGATAGATGCCAGGGCGGGCCGGCACAAAGCATCCGTCAGGCTCTTTCGCTGTGAGTTCGGTGACAGTGTGTGAGCATCTCGCCCCTCTCTCTCTCTCCCTCCCTCCCTCCCTCTCTCTCTCCCCTCTTTCCTATGTCATTCTTTCTCTTCGCTTGGCTGCGTTTCGATTTTAAGCAAACTATTTTGGTGAACTTGTTGTTGTCTACAACCTTTATTGTGCCGCGTACCCTGGCTGCTTTATCATGAGACCTGTTTTTTCCTTCAATTGTGACGTTTGTAGGCGACTCGCTATCACCATCATCCAGAGATCAATACTGGGATTTGGTGCGGATCATCCTGCGCCAGCCGTACAAGACCCGCGACCCGTTCGGGCTTTCATTTCTTAAATTCCAAGGAGTCGAGCAGGAGAGCACAGAAGAGACGAGCACCACCAGTCGCAGCCATGAGGTTGGTAGCAGTAGATCGCCCGTGACGGCGGCATCAAGCACCCGCTCATCGACGGTTTCTATAAAAAAGGATGACCCTGACGCCGCTCCAGGTCACTTGCGATCAAGAAATGCTCCCGTGCTCAAACCCTCACTACCCGGGTCGGCAGCTTTGCAGCTGGCAACTTCGGCAGGAAGTACGTATGCCAAGGCACCACAGCGCCTTCTCATGAGCCGCGTTAGGCGCATGGACACGAGTGAAATGTCCGCCATCGAGTGCAAGAAACCGTTCTGCGATAGTGACGGTGTCACTCTCCGATCGGACCTCGTTAAAGCTGAGATGATGCTGAAGGGCCAGGCATTGTCTTCAGCGTCAACAGCCAAGACTCTTGGTGATAGTATCGATGTAGGCGCACAGAAACGAAAGCATTCACCTGGCATGCCCGACCCATCATCTAGTCCCCCTAGGAAGCTGGCAACTCCAAGCTGTTCGTCTGCAGTATCCCCTAGAATCGGCTCTTTGCGAGGTGAGCAGTGTGCACTATGCTCTGTGCCATCACGGCTTGTTATCTTCTTCTTTCTGGCTTGGACTGAATAGTGAATACCGTACTACCGGCTTGCACGCTTTCGAATATCATGCACTTTTGGTTGTACAGTCACGTACCTAGCATTCAATTGCTCAATCTTCATTATAATTATTAACAGGTTTTTTTTTACTTAAAAAGGATGTAGTTAGGTATTATCAGCACGGTTCAGAGTACCATCTCTCGAATCGATTACAATGAGGTCTCTCAATCGGCTCAGTGCATCAAGTCAAAAGGCTCTAACTGCCAGAAATGATGCGTGCTTGTGCACCGCATTAGTATAAGAAGTTCCTCAGTGTCGTGTAGTGCATCTCTATTGATGGGTGAAGAAACGAGTAGCTTCTGTATGGCGATCTAGAGTCCATTTCCTTTTGTCTCAAATATGTCACCCACCCTCAATCAGCGACAGTGTTTTGCTTCGTCTTTTTTACTCTCTTTATTTCCATCTCTCTCTCAGGTCCATCTGACTCAGGCAAGGATGACTTCATTGAGTTTGGTAAGTGATGTTTTGCTGGTGGACTGGACCGCATCTGTGGGGCTCATTTGTATTTATAGCCAGGGATTTGTGTGCTTGTCTA